ACATGTTGATATGAAGGACAAACGGTGAAACATGACGGCACATAAATGAGTTAGATGCTCCCCTTGGCGATTTTGAGTATATAATAGTTTGTAGTCGAACAACGTGATTGATGTAAAGTATTATTGCATTTGTGAGTCTAGGCTTGATGAAAAAAAAATTATCTTCTTTTCTTGGTTTCAATTTTTAAAAACGCATTTATATTTTTTTGTTGTTGTCAACTTTCACGATTTCTCATAAATACCAAAACATGTTTTCATTTTGTCTGTTTTGATTGCACTTTAGTTGTCACAACTCCAGTGTAATCACAATAACAACAACAAAATGATACTAAACGAGACCCTTCCTCTGTTGTTTTCAATTTTTCATCATTAACTGTGGCTCCACCGCCATTACAGTCTCTCTTCTCTCTATCTATTTTGTGATCAAGTTTGTGATTCTGTTTTCGTTCACGCCTTCGGTTTCCCTCTTCGAGCTCTTTAGTCCTCCACCAAAACAACCGACACTAGGATTTCATAGATGGTGATTTGAAATGGAAGAAATCTTGAATTCCAGTTTTCTTACATCACGTCGATGATAGTTTGGAGTTGTGAAAATGTGGCTTAACTGAATGGTCTTCATATATCATTGATGGTGTTTTTGTATCATTTGGAGTTTTAATACTACATGTTCTTCTTCCTCTGATTGAAAATAGATGTAAGTCTGCTACTTTTGCTCCTCTTCCAATCCTTAAGAAAGGACTGGAACCATGATTGTCAATGGGCGACTTTGTCCATCGTCTTCCCCGATCGCATTACCCTGAAATGTGTGGTTTTATTCTTTTTTCTTGTCATACAAAAATCGCACTATAAAAATCTAAAATTGTACTCGGTAAAAAAATCGCAAATTTTCTCCGATTATGGAGCTCTAGAGCGAGTACATGAGGTCTGACCCAATGAATTGGGTAACCTAACACATACCCCCTCTCCCTTTTCCTACATAAAACATGAAACTTATCCCACAAGGAAACAATAACCAAATCCTTAAAAAAATACTAAAAAGCAATCCAAATCCGACAAAAACAACTAATAATAATACAAAAATCACAAATTAACAACAATATACGAACTAATTAATAAAAATACAAAAAGATATACGAGCGTAGTAATTCTCAAATTATCCAATGGCTCGCCTCGTAACAATCATTCCCCTTAAACACAACCTTGCCCACAAGGTTTGTCATCTTTATTGATGAATTGACCCTCCTCGTCATTCTCGCACGATCCAATCATGAGAAAGACGTTTGCATTGGCACAACAATAACCAATGGTTAATAGCTCATCTCGGTTGAAGTACAATCTTTCGGTTCTTCGTTATGCTACTTCCTCTATTGACATCCTTTATGTAGTAGGGTTGGGGGGTGGTACGGCTAAAGGTGGCACAACTACTGGTTTGGTCGGCACCTCTATTTGAGCACGTGGTGGATTTCTTCGCACTCTACAATGCTTGGCCAGTTCCTCGTTCTTCACCATGGCAAGTTGAATTGCCTCGCACACAGTACCTGGCCTAAACATGCGTATCATATAAAAACTTTTGAGTTTAAGCCACCAATAAAAGAGACCACCAACGCCTTTTCGACCCATCCATAACAGCGATTGCCTAACTTCTTGAACGCCAAAAGATAGCCACTGAATGATCATGTATGCTGACAAGTGCTTCGTTGTTATACACCCCTTCAAACGACCCAAATCGAGCTCACAACTCTTCTCCAAAAACATGGTAAAGTAATTGTCATTCCCAATGTGACATTACAATGGGGATTTACTTGTATTTACTCTGAAAGATCAGTTACAAGAGGAGCAAACAGAAAAGCTGGATCCAAAACAGAGGAGCCATCCGCAACAGGATGAAGCAAATTATGCTTGAAAGGTAAACATCAGAGAGCAAAGTACAAAATGAAACAAACCAGCAGGGGACCAAACTCTAAAATAGAACACAACAAACCCAGAAGTCCTCTTGTTTCCAAAACAAACAGAGTATAAACAAGCAAAGAATCAGCTCGTCCAACACAGCCAAGACCATGACGATTGAACTCAGCAACGCCATCAGCCGCCTCCTGGGAGCCGCTCAAAGATGACCCATCACAGTGAATCTCGAAACTAAGATTACATGGCGGTGGAAAGGGCTGTGAATCGGACTGCTCCAAGCTGAAAGGCACAGGAAACCGAGGAAGAGAAGCCCATGACCAAGGAGAGCGATGACCACACAACTCCGAGGAACAGTAGCACAACCCCGCCACACCTGGAAAAGACACTGCCACCCACATTGAGCGCCTGTGAGACAGATCCAAACCGCCAAGGATGAACAGAGGGGAAACCAGTGGATGGATTCACCAGAAAACAATGAAACCACCAGATTGGAGGAAGGCCACCATTGTAGATCCGGAAGCGACACCCAATCTGCATAATCCAGATTCCTGAGAGCAAGCCCAGATCTAGAAACAGCTAGATCAACAACAAAACAAACCCATCTCCATAGGAGAGGATTGAGGAAAAGAACCCACAAAGGGAACAGGGAAAGGCCAAAAGGGCTTGAAAGGCTAGAAATGAAAGGAGGAAAACAAGTGAAACAGGAGCAGGAAAGCAAATGGAAGGGGAAGCTTGGGCCACCGCCGGACACCTAGAGGTGCCGGCGGCAGCCCTGAAGAAAAGGATGTTGAGTTTTAGTGAGAAGGGAGAGCGAATTTGAATTAGAGAGAGAAACCGAGGCGTTTGGTGGGGACAGGTTCGGTTGAACTAGTGCCACAATTGGTTAGCATCTCCCTCTATGTGATTAGACTCAATTATTCCTTCTACTATATTTATCATTCATTTATGAAGTGTTTTCTCTATGTGTTCTCATAAAAGAGTTAAATATTAACGTTCCTTTTTCAAATAACATATAAGAATGAATCGACTTGTCCCGCCATACCTGCATGGGTATTACTCGATCTGACATGTGCGGGGCGGGTATGTGTATTAAGTTACCCAATCGACTTCGTCCCATTGCCATCACTACATGTGATATGACGCAATTGGAACTTGGTACTCCTTTGGGGTCTCCTGGAATTTGAAAAATTGATCCACACGCACGAATTCTAGATACTCTAATTAGGCTGGCTTGGGCCTAAAGATACCCGCTCTATCCTCCTCTTGGTGCGACCAATTCCACATGACAACCCGCTCATGGCTTCCCTCTCGCGAGGCCTAGTAAGCCAAATTGCTCCTCCTCGCGGGTCGGGCAAGCGCAAGGCCCCATATCAATTAGTTCGACCCAAGTCTATGACAGACCTCCTCGCGCGCTAGGTACTTTCCACCCTCCGTACTCGATGATTGACTCCCCATCCCATTGCCATTCATCATCAACAAGCCGATATTGGCCCAACTAGACGATCTGCATATCATTGGCTCGTGCCCAACTAAGATCTCGATATACGAGTCTAGAAATATCCAAATTATCACGATGACTCATCGTAACAAAGGATCACACAGAAATCTTAGATGGGATCTCACTTATTTCTTCTATCCACTGAAACCATATAAGATTTCACTAAAACCAAATAATTGGCACCAACAAAAGAGATATCCTACCCAGAATCAATTTTGCTATGGTGATCACACCCATTTGTGAGCACTCATGCTTGCTCACATAGTGAGATAAACACTTAGGTCCCACCACTTAATTTAAAGGGTTGAGATTTCTTGGTTTTGGGAAGAAATATGATAAAGTGAAAAGTAGAGGACCATAGTACATTTTCATATGGTGGTCCCACAATTTAATTGACATTTTATATCATTCACCTTCCTCTTTCATTTTTCTCTCTTTCTTTCTTTCTCTTGGTCTTAGAGATGAAAATACTTGTTCTAATACTTTGAATACATTAGCAGCGCGTTTGAATAGTTGTTTGATGCCTATTAATACGTGTTCATTTGTGTGTAATATTTGTTTGTCTTAGATATGAGAATATTTGTTGGAACCTTTTGAATACTGGTTTAAAAATAAATAAAAAATGATGGGCCAACACATTTGCAAATGTGAGGGGTAAACACAGTTTCCAACACATTTGCACTTGTTTGGATAATTTGGAACAGTAGGGGGTGCAAACCGGAGGTGCAAAATTAATATTTCGGCTTACTCCCAAATTGGGGTGCAAGGGAAGGAAGGGAGGGGGAGTTTACCATTTCTTTTATTATTTTTTAATAATTAATACTGTCAATTTCTTTTATTATAGTTATCATTAATATAGACATTGTTCGGAGTTGAATGTTTGACTCTGAGAGCAAATTTATCAATGTTCGTCTAGTCAAATAGAGATCTCTTGGTTGACTCGAATTTGTATTGAAAATTAGAGATAAGAAGTGTTTGTGGAATGTGTTTGACTAAGTTTAACCATATTCAATATAAAGTTAAATTAGACACGAGAACCTTGTAGGATGACCAGTTACAAGTTTTGCTTCGAGTTTCGAGGTCGCTGGACCAATGTTTATTAACAATTGTTATAGTTAATTATTATTTGAGCACTATTATATAATAATAATTTTTATTACAATATATTAACTAATATTACTTATTATATAATTATTTTTATTTTGTAATAATATTTTATAAATCTGATAAATCTATTTTATAGTAATATAATATTTACCTATCACTCTATTTGCACCTCTCCTACTTTTTTATCGAAATAATAATTTATCCTTCCTTACACCCTCCACTAATTTATACCCTCACGCAATTTACCCATCAACTTGCGCCCTCTCCCAAAAATAGAGTAATATAAGCTCATGTAAAAAATAATTAATCCTAACCCTAATCACCTAAGAAGATGTGACCTGTAAGCTGTAACCTCACCATAGCCCAGAATTGGCATTAATCGAATCTTTTGTGTATAACAGCCACAGCCACGGCTTCAAACCAGAGCTCTCCCGAATTGTGCTGTCAAGTTTGAGACTATTTTGGCTGGAAATGCCGTCTTCCTTTTCTGATCAGAGCACTAAAGTTTGAGGCTATTTTTGGTGGACTGCCATGTTAGCATCCCAAACCTGACGAGGATAGCATTTGTGGATTTGTTTATTGCAAGAAAATAGAGCATAGGGTTTCCAAGCTCTGTCGTGGGTTTAAGCATTTGATCGCAGGGAAGAAGAAGGGGAAGGAACCCAGTCGAGAGTAGAGTACGCAGAGTTCCACCTCAAATTTCTCCATTCCATTCTTTGTCAATCTTGCATTACAGTCTCCCTCCCGCTTCATTCTACTTCTGTATACACCCTTTCTGTTCAAGACCCATAGCCAGCCATGAGAGCCAGATTGGTTGTGTTCCCGCTTCGTGGAAGGAACTGGTGCTTCTCCAGATCTCTCGACCCTTCCCTTAATCACCATTCCTCTTCATCCGCCTCCCCTTCTACTATCCGGGATCTCTGGCGCAGCATCACTTCCTCTGGCTCCTCCGCCCCTCACAATGCCCAGCTCGTTGTCGATTTCATCGCTAACAAGATGAACAGAGCTTGGATGGGTATGGAGAAATCGCCCGAGGGCACTCTCAAGAAGAAGATTCACGGGTACCAATTTACTTGCCCTTCTCTCCGTCTATCGTGTTGGTTTTCTCTCCCATTACTTGGGTTCAGAAAACAGGCTTCATTTTCATATCATTTGCTTCTACGCGTGAGTAGGGTAGGTTTGAAGCTACTGGCGCGGGTTAAGCCGTCGGAGATTTTCTTGAAGTCCATATCCAGGGACGTCACCGATGTTGAAATAGTATACCCCGTCAGGTCCTTTACTCGACTCTGTGCTCTTGTTCTTCTTCCTTAAGCTTGTTCCCTTTTCCGTCCAATGATTGTTTCTTGGCATATTTTAGAACTAGAAATAGTTCTGTCAAATTGATTATTACTTCGTTAGAGATGCTTGAGTTTCAGAATATTTTTAGGAATACACGTAAGAGCACCAGCTCTAGATTGTCTGCAACCACAGCACAATGGAAACGCTTTGCGGTTCATCTGAGCATTTTAGTGTAGCCCTTAAGGCCGTAGCCCTGTTTTGGAAAGTTGGATTTCTTAGTACCAACCCTCTTTGACTATATAGTAAAATGGATGAGAGTTCTGGTTTTGCTGAGGACTGCTATATACCTGTTCTGGCAAGGTAGGTCTATGAGAAGCTCATCTCTTCTCAACTTTGTATGAGTAGGGAATTTAAGATGATAAACTTACCTTGACCAGCGGGAAGCGCTTCTGTTCTATATATAATTGAGGTGAGATTGAATTGTCCAACGAAGGTCTGTCGTTTCAATAATCTATTAAACTGATGAGTTCGAAGCTCAGTGACAGTTGCAATGACTGTGAGTTCAGTATCTGTAGTCAGAAGGGATGGTTTACTATTCAATTTTTATATCCGAATGTACTCCTTCAGTTGCACTGACTGAACTCTCCAGACTGATGAGTGGGAAAGCTTCTCTTGATTTTAAGACATAGTGCATCTAGCTATTGTTCGAGTCTTGTTTCCTTCAGTTTATTCAAAATTCTCAAAATCTTAATGTCTTCTTCTTATGACATTCCGGCTCACTGTGAATCTAGACTTATCAGATTCCTAGTGCTCTTACTTTTTTTGTTCTAATTATATGCTGTATGCATCGCTCATACTGTAAAAGAGATGTACAATGCCAGAGAGATAATAGATTGCATGAGACACATCATCAGTTATACCCATCTCATTTGTTATGTTCGAATCTTTTATTTCATCTATTGCAGTTTAAATGCACGGCTTGTGCGACGAAGATTGCGCCATATTGCAATTAGGTAAGTACTTCTTGTACTCTTAAAATTTTGGATGCTCCCTTTCTCCCATTATAATTGCGTCCTCTGAATCATACATCTTGTATTCTTTCAAGAACTCTATCTCCTTTTACTGCCGAGGGGTCAGCATGATTCTCTTACCAGCTTTAATGAAATAAGCATCGTGCCTGCTTGGCTGCTTGTTCTGGAGGTTTATATGGATACACTGCCTGTGTTATGATGAGCATATCTTGTTGGCTTACGCTTGGTAGTGTACGTTTGTAACTTAAACCTGTACTTATGATGCATCGCTTTAGTTCAATCTGATTTAAGAATGAGTAATCATAATTACGTCTATGAGATCCAAATTTTTAGGGGAAAAAATATTATTCCCTTGCTATGAGGCTACTATGTTGTTGTATGTCACTAAATTTTGTATTCCAATCGTCAGGTACTAGGCCAGTTCGGTAATAGGTCTGGGAAGAGTTGGCAGATTTTTGTTTTGCTTTTTTCTTTGTACTTGTTTCATTTATGTATTTGCATAGTCTATTACGTCTATATTGGCTCTAATGCTGTCTGATTTTCAGAGGAGCTTCCATCCACAAGAAATACTTCTATGGTTCAGTAACATTACTTCCACTGACATCTGCGTTGAGTGTACGTATGTGTTTATAGTTTGGTTTCAGTACACGGTGCGGTTCAGATGTTCCTGTAATCAACTGTAATTAAGTGTTTCATACTTGAGGATTTATTGATCTATCACTTCTATGTGATGCAGGTTTTACCTCTGCCCAATATACCATTCTTTTGGGTCTTATTTCGAACTTATTCTCATTGGCGAGCGCTGCAGGTCTGTAAACCATTACAATATTCTGAAAAGATGAATTACAAATCTTTGAAGAGAGGATTATTTCACGCATTTATAAGTAGCCTGCTTATAGATGGGACATGTGTTCTGTGGTTGACTTGGACAACAATATTGCTTAGGAGTTGAGTCTCCGTGTTTGTTAATTCTCATCTTTTCTTGAATATTCCAAAAAATAAATAGGGAAGTGAGACACTCCTTAAGCTGGTGTCTGATCACTCATGGTCTGAAAAATGTGCGGATCAAAATGGTGGACAAGGTCAAACTGAGAAGGGGGACGACAGCTCCAAGGATAAAGCCCCTTCTTCACAAGGTTCTCCATGGGTGAGTCAGAATGCAATTTTAGCAATGAATGCTACTGGCCTCTGTATTATTTTGGCTTCAAGCTGAATGCACTTGAGTTTCCTCTGTTTGGATTATTGAATAACCTTAATTTTGCTTCATTTCAAGTTTTCAACATGTCATAATTCCTTTGACGTTCATGGTTTACATCAAGGAGCATCTTATGCTAACCAGGTGGATTCAGTCTAGTCACGTGTGTTTTGGCTAGCTTGAGGAGCATATGATGTGTGTACTTGAGTGTCTTTACGCAGATTCATTTTAGTTTATCAGTTGAGTCGGTACAGAAAACGTGGGTTCGTTCTTGAAAGAATAATTCTGAAATGGTTTGGCACCTCACTACTTAGAATTACGATGACTGACCTTGATTCGGCTTTGCAGAATAGTTTAAGAATGTTGTAATCTTTACTGTAAGTTATTCGGGTAGACCTCTTGAAAGCCCATAGATGTTATTGCTACTTGCTACTGGTTTTACGTACGTATATAGAGTTAGCCAGGGTTGTTGCAGTAGGAAAACCGTCACCCTATTGTCCAGCGGGCTGATGTTGTATTGCATTGCTGATAAATGTTCAATACATGCTGGTGCTGTCATGTCATGGTTGCTGTTTATTTATTGGCTTCCGTGGCTGTGAAGCCTTAAGTTCTGAAGATACTTGCAGGTGTTGCAGCCATCAAGGGAACTTCAGGAGATCATCGTCGGGCAACCTGAAGATAATGATGTTAGCGAAACTGCGATCGCTAGTGTTTGCGAGATGTATGGGCTAGATGCCAAAGATGTGTTGAAGTTTAAGAATAACATGTAATGTAGGCTGGTAGTGTTTACTTTAATGTGCCTTGTCTGTTCTTGTATATCTGCGGGCATCATTTGGTCTTAAGTGATTGTAGTAGATTACGTAGGCTTTTATAGATGAGATCATGAGAAGCAGAGCAACATTCAATTCTTGTTTTGTTTACTTCGACCAGCACAAAGCAAGCAAAGTAGGAAGAGGGGTTTTGTTTTGGGACGAATGCTCCCTTCCCTGGCTACCACTTTATCGACATTCTTTTAAGACCACTTGTCACTTTCGTTGATACAATGAAAAGAGCTACCAAAAAGCCAGAATGAGATAGTTGCATGAACACAAGCTCAAGTAGTTGTAGTACAAAATTTTGACCAAGTTTCACCAAGGCATGGTTACCATGCTTGCCTTCCATCAGCCGCTTTCAACATCACTTCCTCTTCATACATCAAATTAATCATGCTCTCATTGAGGTCAAAGAGTAACCCCGAACCTACAAGCGCTAAACACCCAACAGTCCTATGGGGCTACACTGTTAAGAAGAAAGATAATCAGAAAGGTCTGGTGAAGAACCTACAGAAGGCAGCGGCAGCAGGTGCTCATGCCGTTCACTATTTCCAAGCTTTCAACTGCCCAGTCTTCCCCTTCCGTTTCTTCCCCTGCATCTCTTCCGATAGGAATGGCGTTTTTGGAGGACCATCACTTGCTGATTCAACCTTCTCCTTGTGCTTCTTCACTCTCTTGCCGCCCTTGGAATCAACATCTTTGGCATGTTCCTCCGAGGGCAAGTGATCAACAATCTCCTCCCTTTTCTTTCGTTTTCTTGAATGTGTTGTTGCATCCTCAGTTTTCCCAAATGCTGCATAAAACTCGTCGTATGTTGCTTGTCTCGACTCTTGCTTTGATCTCCATAGATCAGGACGCTTGGCATATCTATAGCACAATGGCAGACCCAAAAACAAAATAAACATGCAGAATGTAGAAGTTGAGCAAGCAAGCTGAAGCCCATGAACATAAGAACTGCACACAAGTTAACTTAATGAAAATTGAAGTAGTGCAGCACGCATACCCATCAATATCCAGCTTCCTTAAGAGGTAGAGGCTTTGCTTTGCCTTGGAGTGTTCCAGCGCTTGTTGCACTGTTGCCAAGTCTGATGCTATGGCCTCTCTCAATGACAGGTTACTCACGGTAAAGCACTTCTCAACAGTGAAGCAACCAGACGGGTTTTTTGCCAGCTCGCCAAAATGTCCTTTTAGCCTGTCAAGATTGTATACAGACCAAACAACACCATTTTTTACACAAATGTCAAGCGAGAATATATATATATATTAGAAACAAAACTCCTAAGGACTTGAATGCCACAAACTTTGAAATAACTCTCCGCTTGTGCTTGGCAGAGATGTCTGAATCTAAAAATGCTTCAAGAACACGAGCTCCCCCAGCATCCTTTGCGACTTTGAGGATCTGCTCCGTTTCCATGCACGTGAGACTCTTGATATATGGCTCTATGAAGTCCTGCCAATGGATCAACAAGGAGACATCAATGGAATTAACAAGTCAGCAACATAAATCACAAAAATTCATCATAAGATTATCCGTGAGATGCAACTTACACTTGGAAATTTAAAAACTGCCTGTAGAATCAGAGAGCCCATAACATGCATCTTAGAAACATTTGGCCATTCCCAAGAGGACTTGTCCTCACATCTGAAGTAATTTTCAAGAAACAATATTCTGGGAATAATGTATCTTGGAGACTCGTCCGACCCCACACGCACTGCATCCGCAAGAGCTTGGCAGCACTGTCCAACAAAAAGTGGGCAGATCTCATTATCAAAATGAAGCCTTTCAAAAATGCCTTTTCAGAAATCAAAAATGTCAGATCAAAGTTTCACCTCAAGTCCATGAGTTTGAAGCCTTTGACTAGCAGCTACGAATGAAGCAATGACTCCTGAACACCCCATTTCTAGTAGATCTTTACATTTAGGGCCAAGTTCCTTCCAGATCAACTTCACCTATTAGTCATAGAGAATGAGTGGAACAATATCCATCAACTGGGGGGGAAAACATGCTTGGTTTGAAAGATTGAATCAAATCTTAATTACAATTGCCATTAACCAACATGGGACAAGATAGATTACATACTTGTTCTTCATCTCTTGTATAAGAAATTAATGCTTGAACCACAAAGTTCCCACATTTATCAGATGAAAGCTCAAACAGTGAATTCCTAAAGAGTTTCATGAACAGCTCCTCATACAGACATTCAGGAGCCACTTCCAAGATTACCTGCACAAGTGTTAAAGCTTGATTAAGTAAAATTACAAGGATAAGAAGCAGCTCAGAAAAACATAGACTACATGTTATAATCCAAAAGAGAGTTTGTTAAGGTAGCAGAAAGGAAGCAAACTTCATATATGCAAGATCAGTCAGAAATTGGTTGCAGCAGGAAACTAGCTACAATAAGGGTCATTACACTATTCACTTATTGGTTATTTGCATAGCCTTGCATCCAGAAAGGATTATGGAAAATGGAACACAATCCTAGAAAAAAGGATGCAAGTAGAGAAAATAATAGTAGAGCAACCACAGAAAATAACATACTCACTTCCATCAAGCGGCTAAACGCAGGTTCTTTCATAAGCTTCACAATATCCCTAGCAATCGTCTTGTCTATCAAGTTTCCTTCAATTAAGTTTTGGTTTTTGCAGCCAAGCAGGACCGGTATTACATGCAATAACTCTTCATTATCCCCTGCAAGCAACTTCAAAGCTGTCTGCAACAGGAAATGTTCATTATTAGTAGGCAGATTCACATGATTAAAAGTTTTAGACAAAGCAGTTACATAAAGGGAGAACACAAAAACACTTAATGCCAGCAATCAGGTCCCAGAACCTTGATGGCAGCAGCAATGGATAACTGAGGATTATCTTGATTGACTGGTTACATTAAATATGGTAAGAAAAACAGACAACTCCACCACTATAGACTTTTACAATAATGAACCGGAATATATACCTAATGCTCATCCATTTGCAACAATAAAGTGCTACTACAAAAATATATTTCCAAATCCAGAAACAATGGTAATATAAGGTGTTATGAACCAACTTTAAACAGCAAGAAGACACAAAATTGGGCCATATTCAAGCATACCTGCAGGACCAAACTGCTACATTGATCCACTAGGATGCTTCTGCTGTCTTCTCTGGTATGTTTCAACATTGCTGATACAATATCTTTAAGCAAACCAGGAAATCCCTGGTGAATATGCACAGAATCACTACCACCTACTCGAGATGCTTGGAGGTTTAAACGATTAGCCAGAGCTGAGGATGACTTTACTCCATGAAATTCCGGGGAATCCAACCGTACACCCCCACAGAGACATAGAAGTGTACGAAGAACATGAGATCCATGCTGGTTACACATCATATCAATAGGGTTGGCTGCAATCCCCTGAATGACAAAGGAACATCATTTGTCAGGGGGAAAAATGATAAAAATCACTAAAATTCGTGTTTTCTCAGGAATATAGATGGAGGAAATACAGTCTAATTCATACCTGGCATACGGAATTTAGAGTATCTTCTATAAGTGAATAGTAATCATTCTCCTGAACAAATGTAGCTACAGACTTGAGTGCTGTCTCAGCCACATGAGAACCACATCTATCAGTTGCGATCATAGGGAACAATTCTGCACAACTTCGGAGAAAACCACAGAGGTGGTCCACATCGGATCCTTCGAGGAGGCCTTGCATAGTATGGCTTATTATATAATCAGTTGCGAGCTCAAATTCTTTCCCTTTAGCTTCTTCAAGAGCATTGCTGCATATTACTGACCGCTCCTCTAATTCAATCTCACTACTTTCGAAAAGGTTTGCAATCTCCGAGAAGTATGTTTTTGTTTCCGGGTCAATTTGATTCCTACGAAAGAAGCAGTGTTCTAGTAAGAGGCAAGCTAATCATAGAAATGGGTCGAAAACGCGCAAGGATACTGAAACATTCACCATTTTACATTTAGCGTCCCGTTTTCAAGTACCTGACAACGGTTGGCTGTGGGTCTGCATTCAGTGAATTTTTCACCTTGTTTCTCCCACCCTTCCCCATTGAACCCTGGTTGTAGAAATTACTATTATCCCTACCCATCGAACTACTTCTAAGCAAGCTAGCAAATTGATTGCTGAATAAAGCTCTCAGACCTGCACAAACCATACAGCACGTAACCCATGTCAAAATTCGTCGACCAGCGGAACAGTGAAAATCACACAATTAGACACATAAATGAAAAATCCACCATAGCTGCACTGTCAAGAAACTAGGCTTTACACAAGAGTAACGGAAGAACTCAATCTTTAGGCGAGAAGGAAGCAGAGTGAAGGTTGGCTTCGAGGAGCAACGCGGACGTAATTCAGCGGGTGAGGACGGGAAAAGAAAAAGGAGAAAATACGGCACCTTAAGTCACCCGAGCAAATTCGTGTGTGAGCTGCTTTCCCGTTTGGCGCTTTGGAAATCTGCAGCTGCAACTGGGGAGACGAGTAAGTTCCTTCCTTCTACCTGTGCTTAAACAACGAATTCAAATCCTATTCCGTCGGCGAGCCAAAACCTACATTAAACCCCTCCCGCCGCTTACGAGCAAGAAGACGGGCGGGGCGGGCGGGAGTCCAGCGCGGCAGCATCGGCACCAGGCTTGGCCACAAATGGGCCGAAGAGAAGAGAGGGAACTTCGGCCCATATAGGGAATCTCCAGCCCCACAGAGTAGTGGTACCGTATTTTGGGGCGACCTGAGTACTCTTTGTTGGACCTAAGCTACACAAGCTATACCTAGCAACAAGCGGGTTGTGTAGGTTTTGGTCTAAAATCTAAATCGACCTACTTACTTACTAGTAGGGGTGGTATACGGTCCGGTCCGGTGAAATTGGACCAAATTGATCCGGTCTCAGTCCGTTCTTTTTGGGAATATAAGGACCAAAGATTGGATTGTATACAATCCGGTCTTGATCCGGTACGGTCCCAATTTTATCTTGATTTTAGGTGTTGAGGGTCTCTTATCCGGTCTTTATCCGGTTTTTTACCTCAAATCTAAGCCCGAATATGAGATTGCATTGTTTGCTATTCGATCCCAGTCCGGTCCCGGTCCGGGTTATACGGTCCGGTTTTGGGTAAAACCAAACAGTCCGGGACCAAATAACCAGCCCTACTTACTAGGCATATTTAGTCTATCGGGCGTATAGTAAGCCTAGTAGTCCCCTGTTTACTTAGTAACTAGGACTTTCCATGTTGTTATTATTCTATTATCAAACGTTATGCTACCATCACACCTTTCACGTGGTGTTGACTTATAATCATTCATAACCATGCCCGCATTGGTGTTAGATATGACCACAGCCTGAGGGATATTTGGTATGTATTTCCGGGAGATTTAATAGTATGAGAGCAATCAGACGTCTATATTTAAAACATGATAAGACACATATGCATAATTCAAGGTGGTATATTCTCTTACATATTAGGATGTTGGGATGGACCAGGTCTGATCCTAGTATTTTGGCTTCTTTGTTAGGTGTATGATATGAGTATGCTTTATTGTGAACTCACGATGCGATGATTTTCTCATTCAGCTGAGAGTTGACCCTCTTTTACTCTGCTTATGTTTGTCAAGAACCAGTTGATCCCAATAACTCGAGTTGTTGAGAGAGGTTCAATCGTGGATCATATACCACAACACTAACACGCCCCCTCAAACGAAAGCCACTCACAAGGGCTTGAAGTATGCACAGGTCTGAAGACAAGAATACCATGTGCTTAACAAATGGGGTCATCGGGAATCGAACACAAGACCTCTCGGTCACAGAGGCTCTGATACCATGTCAAGAAATAGTTGATCCCAATAACTCGAGTTGCTTGGAGAGCTCCAATTGTGGATCATATACCACAATACTAACAATGTTATGTGTAAGCAGATCATCAACAATATCAGTAGATAACCACATAGCTACAGGCAAAGCTAATAGTTTGAAGGTATGATGGGGTATGATCTTCAACTATTTTGTGCTTAGATTGCTACCTAGGATTTTGGCCATGGATCCACACATTTTTTTAAAAATGGTTTAAGAACCTTTCTACATGTATGTATGCAATAGTAGGGGTGGCAGTCGGTCGGTTTCGGTTTAACCGAAAACCCGGTTATCGGTTAAACCGAGCCGTCCCTATAGCTGCCGACTACCGACCGTGAGGTGTGTCACAGTTAGCCGGCCAACCGACCGGTCGGTTTCAGTTTAAGGCTCGGTTAGCCGGCCAACCGGAAAATGTAGCTTTTCTAAAAAAAAAAAAAGGAAATATGCTGCACCACTCACTCCCAACCCCTCTCACTTCTGGATTCTTCTTCTTCCTTTCTTCCAGAGAAACCCGCCGGCCGCCGCTAACCTATCTCTCTCCCTACTCTCTCTCGATTCTCTTCTTCCTTTCCAGAGAAACCCGCCGTCGCCGAGTACGTCTCCACGCCGGCCCAGCTCCAGGCAATCGTCGGAACTCATCCCCGATCGCGAATTCGACGAGGCAGATGGCGCAATCGGAGAATTTGGCCGCGGTGTCGGTGGAGAAGGTCTGCTTGGGGAGGGCGCGGAGGATCTTCTTCTTCACCCCCTTGTTGGCCTGCGAGGAGCTCGGGGCCGGCGGATCTTTGCCGCCTTCCGCCGCGGCGGCGGATCCGGAGGAGAAGCGGCGGATCCAGGCGCAGCAGGCGACGGCGACGAGGCCCAGGACGCAAATCAAGGCGCAAAGGAGCGCGGCCAGTATGACGACGAAGTCGGAGTCCACCGGCGGAGCGGGTGGCTCGGAGGAGTCCCCGGCTGTCGTTGTCGGCGAGGAGCTCACCGAATCCAACAGTCTGAATGGACGAGTCATGTGAATGGAATGGGGAGGAGCTGTAGAGAGAGAGAGGGGAATGGGAAGAAGGAAATGAAGGTTTAGAGAGAGAGGGGGAATGGGGAAATTTGGGGGATAGGGATTTTGGAATTGGGGATTTTGGGGTTTCTGATTTCAGAAGGCATCGCGGAGAGGGAAGGAATGATTTAGGGGTCTCTGCCCTCTGGTTTGTTTCGTAGAGAGAACAGAGGAGAAGGAGGGAGGGGGAAGGGGGAAGGGCTGGTCGGTGGTGACTGGTGAGAAGGGGGAGATGAAGTGGAAGGGCAGGGGTCGGTTAGCCGGTTAACCGCCGGTTTCCGACCCCGGTTAGTCAGCTAACCGGCCCCCTAATAATCCCCACCGCCAACCGACCACCCTCTTCGAAACCGATTTTTCGGCTAGCCGAAAACCGATCAGTTCGGTTGAAACCGACCGGTTAGCCGCTAACCGAAAAACCGTCCGCCAGCTCTATGCAATAGTAATGACATGTAACTTATGTCCCTCACTTGTATGTGGTTATGAGGTTATGACCACATGCTAGCTAATTGGTGAGTGTGCTTGGTGAGTGTGCTTTTACCTTTACGTCCCTCACTTGTATGTGATCTTCCTTGGGTTAACACCCACTTTGCTCACTAATGAAATTCTTTCTGGATTTTTTTTTTTTTTTTTTACAGTGACTAGTAAATGAGTGAACCACAGCTAGCTAATTGGTTACTAGCATTGGGCCCGGCCCGTTGGCCGGTGGAGTATAAAATATGTACGTGTAGTCTGTTGTATTCTATTAATAATGAATTACAGAATGACATTATAAATCAAACCTGAACTCCCAATTGCATAGTGAATTACAATCTAACATGTAGTATCTAACTGGAAGTCCCAATTGCATAAAGAATTACAATCTAACATATAGTGTCTAAAAACTTTCAAATGCAACGAACAGAAGAAAAAAAAAATCAGGTTTGATAAATCTCTGTACAGAACCGTTCAAATGTTTTACAATAAGTACAATCTTAAAGGTCATTCTAGCTTAAAATTGGCACGTTGGGTTATTCTATGCATATTGAATTACAACGAAAACCAGGAAGCCCTAAATGCACGTATGATTTTGCCTTCTCATCACTGAGTTATATCGAATTGAAGGCATTACTTGATAAAGCCCTGGGAAGAAATTTGCCTTCAGGTAGCAGCATCATATTCCCAGGAATTTAAAGTTATGTTACCACAAACATACACACGTAATATGATCTGAGCCAAAAGACACACAAAGGCTACCTTCTACCAAGAAAAACAGAAAAATCAAAGAGAAGGGAACACATGAATTAAATAACTATCAGACAGACTGATGAGCATATTACATCGAGTGGTAGACTTGGAAATGGATGACATATTCTTTTGGCTAGAAGAAGTATCATTTAACACCCAGCATACATAAGTCCTACCGCAAGAGATAACCATCCATAAAGTGGGTCTCAATCTTGTCAAAAGCATAGAACAACAGTAAGCGATTGGGTCACATACCCATGTCATGAGAAAAGCAAAAAACAGAGGGAAGAAAATAGAGTGGAAATCCCATTTACAGTTTCCACAAAAGCCAAAATAAAAGGGACCATGCGAGGTTCAGCGTCCAGTGGCAATGGAACTACGGGCCAAATATATGTGTCAACCCTGCAATGCGAGACAAACGGTTAGGACCAGAGAGATGCAGCTGGAGATTTTTGGGATGGTTTGGAAATAGACGGCAACAGTTAGAGTCTGCGGAGTGGGATGGATAGCAAGAGCGAGAGAGCTAGGCGGCGAATCAATTACAATAGGGTTTGAAAGACAGGAACAGGCGGGGAGATTCTACGGAGTGGGACGGACGGCAAGAGCGAGAGGCGGAGAATCAATTACCGAAAGGTTTGGGAGAGACACAAAGACGGCGAGAGCGAAGGTGCGGTGGCCGGTGGGGGGTTTTCAAAGGAGCGTTAGGCGAGAAAATAGCGAGTAGACGTAGACCCGGGAGATGGGAAGACAGAGAGCGACGAAGAGAATCATTAATTTGTGATTTTACCGTAAACTCCTTCCGTACTATGCGGCCTGTTGAGGAAAGGCTTACGTGGCATAAAGCTTTTTTTCACATTGCCTTATACTCTTTTGTAGATTTGATATATACGCCATATTTCTTTTTGGCTTTCGGTGGGAAAAACAAAATGCAAAATTGCAAATGAAACAAATGACAATATTGTTTAATTCTCCTCTCTTGTCTATTTATATGCGCGTCTCTTTTCCCTGTCATGATACGGTAGAGTGGTTGCCATTTGCCAACATCCATTAAATTGTTGGGGGAAAAAAAAATGATTCACTCCATATTCCCAATCGTACTGGTCCTAATCGGCACTGTCGCCGCCGGCGTAGATAATTCCGCCGCCGCCGCCGCCCCTCCAAACTCCAGCACTACCGAATACAACCAGTACCATCTCCCATCACCAACACCCCAAATCCACGCCCACCACGCCGTCCTCCGCTCCGCCTGCAGCAGCACAAGGTTCCCGGACCTCTGCTTCTCCGCCGTGGCGGCCGCCGTCCCGGGATCCGCCGAGGCCCTCGCCACCCAGAAGGACGTGATCGAGGCGTCCATCAACATCACCTGCCGCGCCGTCCAGCGCAACTTCTTCGCCGTCGAGAGCCTGATCGACTCCGCCGGCGGCAGGCTGAGCCGCCGGGAGACGACGGCGCTCCACGACTGCCTCGAGACCATCGACGCCACCCTCGACGAGCTCCACGTGGCGCTCCGCGACCTGCTGAGCCGGTACCCGCACGAGAAGAAGAAGAGGAGGAGGAAGTCGCTGAACCGGCACGCCGCCGACCTCAAGACGCTGCTGAGCGCCGCCATGACCAACCAGGAGACCTGTCTCGACGGCTTCTCCCACGACGGCGCCGACCGGCGGGTCCGGGAGAAGCTGCTGGAGGGGCAGGTCCACGTGGAGCGCATGTGCAGCAACGTCCTCGCCATGATCAGGAACATGACCGACGCCGATATCGAGGCGGCCGGAGTCGAGGAGGACGAGGAGGAGCAGCAGCAGCCGGAGTGGTTGTCGGCCGGAGATAGGAGGCTGCTGCAGTCGCCCGATGTAGGAATCTAAACTACGACCGCTAAAAATCTACGCTCAGAGAATTCAAACTAATAAAAGATCTTATTAACTAATTTTTTTATAATAATTTTTTTTCACAAAATTTAGTAATTTTGAGTTGAGAGGGGTTATAGTCTCCTCTGAATTTAATGTGGCTCCGCCACTGCGTATAAATAAAGTATTAGTTTTTTTTTTTAAGTTTAGCGTAGAAGCAGATTGGGCATTTATTTATTATATATGGTATGTTGTTGTTGGATGGTGTCAGGTGAAGACGGCGGCGGCGAATGTGACGGTGGCGGGGGACGGGAGCGGGGACTACGTGACGGTGGGGGAGGCGGTGGAGGCGGCGCCGAACAAGAGCAGCGAGAGGTATGTGATAAGGATAAAGGCGGGAGTGTACAGGGAGAACGTGGAGGTGGTGAAGTCGAAGACCAACATTATGTTCGTCGGTGATGGCAGAGCCACCACCATTATCACCGGCAGCAGGAGCGTCGTCGATGGGTTCACCACTTTCAAATCTGCTACTGTAGGTACGTACGGTAAATCAATTTCTTATTTCTTCCCCGGCCGGCCACCGTGAAAAAAGTTTGATGATTGTTAAAGTTGCTTTGATGTTGGTTAGTCAACGGGTCAATCATAGCCGGAAATCACGCAAGAAAAGCGGGTGTGAAAGTGCACGGTTCTTTAGAATGAAAGTAAAAATAATTGATGAAATCAAAATGGTAAAATTTTGTACTCATTAGAACACGATACCCGAATTGGATCGAGTCACTCACGGGAATCTGCAACTCCCGCGGTGGCCGGGCTAGCTCTGCTAATTGAATTTGAATGGTCCATTTTCCTGTCCAGTGGCAGCGATGTGATGCGGTGCAAAAATCATGTCCCGTCCCTACCCAAACCCCACCACTTTCCTCTCCATATTCACATGTGTCTGGTTTTGAGATCTAGCCAGCTAGATAGCTACCAATTTAGGATGCAAGATAGTGATATTATGCGCACCCTTCTTTTGTCGTTTTTCCAAATTTGTCTACATTTCTCTTTGCGCATAGATTTTGAACATGATTTCAAACTTGACCCGTGCTGGAGTTGTTGATTTTCATCGAGTGCTAAACATGAATGATTATGTTACTAACCATCATTAGTCGGTACATTAACATGCTATCTAGCTAGCTGTCCCCCTTATCCATAGCGTTAATAATTCATTCCCTTCAATCACGGTTAATCATATATATTATGGCTTCTATCGTACCTTGGGTGAAATCTAGGGTACGACATATCCTGAGTAAGAAAAAGCTATTTAGACTTAGAATAAATCAGATTTTTGGCATGATACTATACCCTAACCCCTTGATGAGTGAACCCTGGGTCTTCGTTTTCAGAATCATAGAGCCTAATTAACCCCTAAGATTGTGCATGTAATTTGCAGCGGTGAAGGGGAAAGGGTTCCTGGCGCGGGACATAACGTTCGAGAACACGGCGGGCCACGCCAAGCACCAGGCCGTGGCCCTCCGAGTCGGCGCTGATCAGTCTGCATTCTACCGGTGCGACATCCTGGGCCACCAGGACACCCTGTACGTCCACTCCAACCGCCAGTTCTTCGTCAACTGCCTCGTCACGGGCACCGTCGACTTCATCTTCGGCAACGCCGCCGCCGTCCTCCAGGACTGCGACATCCACGCCCGCGTCCCCGGTCCGGGACAGAAGAACATGGTCACCGCCCAGGGGAGGAAGGATCCCAACCAGAACACCGGGATCGTGATCCAGAGGTCGAGGATCGGGGCCACGGCGGACCTCCTCCTGCAGACGGCGGCGGGGAACGGGAGCTACCCGACGTATCTGGGGAGGCCGTGGAAGGAGTACTCGAGGACGGTGGTGATGGAGTCGGAGATCGGCGGCGTGGTGCACTCGGCCGGGTGGGCGGAGTGGAACGCCAGCTTTGGGCTGGCGACGCTGTACTACGGGGAGTTTAGGAACC